CTTGCTTGGGGTCACCTCCCACTTGGTCGCAGCCAGGTAAGGGGAAAGGGAAGAGGACGCTAGAAATGCCTGATGTTCCCCTTAGGGGCGTGAGGAAGGAGCTTTCATATAGCTCTGGGCCAGGGGCCGCTGGGGGCTGAGGGGACACAGCCTCCTCCCCTCGGGGGCCACTGCAGCCCCTCTCCCCGCCTACTCCCACCAAAAGTGGGGCGGGGTTCCTCCAAGGTCAATGGGTCCTAAGGGCAAGGGGCCTCCCGCTGCCACCACAGCACTTGTAGGGAGGATCGGTAAGCTCTCAAGCCAGCCCCGTCTTTTTAAACTAGTTAGTTTAGGGCTCAGGTGGGAAGGAGGCAGACAGGTCTCCACACTGCCTGAGGCTCTGCCTCTCCACTCTGGGACCCTCCCCTACTCCCAGTAGCTGCCAAACCAGCAATATCCCACTCAGACCCAGGGCCCCTTAGGGAGACAGTGCAGGTCCCAAGCTACGTCATGGACAAACACCTCAGCACCTGGCATAGAGCATCCCAAAGCCAAATACCCAATGTGTCCTATCTGCAGCTGGTACCATCTGAGGGTGCTGGCTGGACTGACAGCAAAGTTCATGACCTGTCATCCTGGGGGGGCAAATGTGGCCACACCTGGGTATTGCCACCCATGTAACCACCCCCAGACAGATGGGAAAAATGCTGAGGCCAGAGCCATGAAGGTATGGCACCTTTTGCTCAGCTCTCCCAAAGGTCCTGGCCTTGAGCCTTGGATGGGGGGCCACATGGGTACCTAACCCCCTACCCCAGACACAGCCAAAAGGGTCCCCGTAACCTCTATCCCCAGGGATAGCCTTCCCCGTGCTCTAAGGTCAGACTTCTGTAGGGAAGATTCCACTGGCTCCATAGGGATTTTCTCCACCACTCTCTGAAAGCAATACAGCTCCAGCCCAGCATCTTAACTGAGGCAAGATCCAAAAGAGGGGTCAAGTTGCAGGAGCAGGCACCTCCTCTGGGCAGACCACAAAGGTCCCTGGGCCTGCAGTTGCTGTTTCCATCACCTTCCCCATGGGAAAGAGCCTTAGCACACTGAGATGATCCCCCGGAAGGGAGGCTCAGGTAGAAGCCGCAGGCATAGGCATCCAGAGTTACGAGGCCTCCTCAGGAGCCCTTAGCATTCGAGATCACCACCACCGTCTCAGGGGAAGGCCGTTTCAGCAGATGAGAACCACAGGAGGGAAGTTCTCTGATGGAGCCTGGCAGGTGGTCCCACCTCTGAAGCCAAGGGTCTTCATTTGGCCTCTCTGCATCTAGCACATGGCCCTCTGTGCATCTACAGGGAACCTAATCTATCCCACTCACCAGCCTCTTTCTACACCTAGGGAAACCAAGGCAAGGGGCGGTGAGGTGATGACACTCACCTGGCAATAAAGGCCTCTGGTGATCCGAGGGCATGTCCTGCTCCAGGGCAGATAGCATGTTCCTTGCTGAAGAGCAGATGGTGGCGAGTTTCCCTCAACTGTTTCCATGGGCCAGTCTTTAGGGAGCCAAAAGACTAGGGGCCACCCTCTCCCCTCCACATGTGCCAAAGCAGCACCTAAAGTGAGGAAGTTCAGCAGGCAATTCCACAGCCCCAGTAACGAACGGGCCCCAAGGAAGTGCTAGGATTTCCCGGCCCCCAGACTGGGCAGCCAGTTGCATGTGACCCACATCCACTGCCAGTCCCTCCCACATCCCTCCCGTATCACACAGGCCCCAAGACAACCAACTGGACTGAAACTGCAGGCACCCAGCTCTGGGACTCCATGCCATGTTGGGGGCTAAGCTCCTGGTGTCCTGGCAAGATTTCTTTTTCCTGCTTACATTTTCTACTTTGCAGTCTTTTCTTTAACAGTATCCCAAAACTAGGTTGACACAGCTCCAGTCCACACCAGCATACCAGGCTTCCTCCCCAGGTCAGTTTAGAGGAAGCTCCTTCCAGGCATGGTCAGACGGTCCTCCTTCCCTCTCTCCTTCCCCTTTGTCCCCTGGCCTCAACTGACTGAGGGGGGTGAGGGGGCACCCTCGGGCTTCCCTCCCACTAGTAGCACTTATGACAGGAGGCCTGTGGGTGGCTCATCTTCCCCGCCACACCAGTCCTCCTTCCTGCCCATTGGAGGGCAGAGTCCCCAAGGCTGATCCTGGCTCTCAAAGCTCCCTTCAGTGGGGAGGGGGCAGAGATCCAGAGGACCCCGTGGCTCAGTTCCTTGGATAAGCAAGCTCAGGGAGGATGCAAGGGAGGAGGTGGCTGCAGAGGACTGCAACCCTGATGGGCAGACCATGCAAACTGGGGCTGGCCCTGGGGTCGGCTGGGCCTTGTCCTCCACCTGCTCAAACGTGCTTCCACCAACCAGAGGAAACCCATTTACTAGTTTTTCTAATAAATCAATAATGCTCCTTATTTCTCTGTTTCTATTTGACTGGCTTACTTCTCTTTGAACTGGGCCAAAGGGGGCTGGCTGAGTCAGGCAGGAACTTGTGCCCACAGGACCACCATGGACACAGAGGGACAGCCGAATTCTCTGGCTTGTTCCTGGAGTCTCATGGGGAACAACTCTGCCAGCACCCAGGTCCTGTGCTTCATCTGAGACCCTGAGGAAAGCTCACTCGTTCATGCATTCATCCATCTCAAGGGCCTGCTGTCTTCCCCATGGAGCTCAGGAAAGAGGTCTCAGTCTTCAATGAACATCAGAATCCACATGCCTAGGGTTCATCTCCAGAGGGGCAGTTTCAATTGGCCTGGGTGGATGAAACCCAGGCATCAGCATTTTCCAATAAGTCCCCTCCCCTGATGATTCTAACAGGCAGCTGGTAAGAACCACTGAGCTAGTCTGAGGGCCCCAGGCATACCTGGGGAAGGTGTTTGCTGCTACTTCCCAGGCCTCACACTTCGAAGAGTCTGAGTTTGAGAAGCAACAACTCATCCATCTCCTTCCATTTGTAGAGGAGGACAAAGCAAGCGTTTAGGTGACCCAGCTAGTTAAACACAGGGCTGGGTCTCCTGACTCTCACTCCAGTGTGTTTGTGGCTACTCATTCATACCAGAGACTTGCCTTGTAGGAGCCAGCTCTCTCCTCAGTGTCGGGACAAGTGGCCACAGACTATTCAGGGCAGCTGACAGAGCAGCTGGACTAGCCCTGCTCTGCCTGCTCTGCTCAGGAAAGGCCTCCATTTGCCTCTGATCTTCCCTTGACCTCATGAGACTCAGCAGACCCACCTTCAGGCTAAGTCTGCCCTCCTAGGTCAGAAGACTCACAGGGCCCTGGCCTGTAGGAACACCTGCAGGACAGCTCTACCACCTGGCCCTGCAGCCCCACCCCTCCCAGGCCCCAGCCAGAAGAAGCAAGGCAAAACAAGGCTGGTCCACCAAGGAAAGGGAGCAAGAAACCCAGTAGAAATAGGAAGGCATTCCTACCCCTTTTGAATCAAAGACATTTTTGAGGAGGGGATGAAGACTGAGCATTCATCCCAGAAAAAATGCACTTGCCTTCCTCACTCAATACTGGAACCCATCAAAGACATCTCTAGGTTCCAAGTTTAGAATCCATGCCTCCTAGGAAATGTCTCCTGGAAACTAGAGAAGGAGAAAAAAAATAAAAGGCACCAGACATGGAAACGTCTGCCTGTTAGAAAAATATTCCTCCACCACCACCACCCCTTTCAATCCAACTTTGGCCCTTGGGGAAAAGAGCTAAAGGCTAGCATGGAGCCCCCGACCACACCCCAGACAGGACACCAGACTATGAGCAAACAGAAGTCCATGGCAGTAGAAGTAGCAGAGAGCAAGTTCCCTCCCACACATCCTGCTGCCCCAGCTTCCCTGCACTGGCACCTGGTGCCATGTGCTTCATGAGCGTGGATGCAAAGGAGTGAGTGTGGAAGCAACAAGCCCACGCCCCGCCCCCCCTAAGACAGGCCCTGGGCACAATCTCACCTTAACCCAGCCAGACCCCAGGAAGGAGGCCACACACAGGTCAGTTGGTCAGCAGTGGTTATTACACCATTGGCAAATAATGAAATGTGTATACATTAGCGACAACCACAGGGGCCAGCGAGACAACCCACAGAAGTACCTGAATGGAGTCCACGACATTCTTCCCAGGCAGGGACTCAGCAACAGAACACACACACAGGCGAGCACACTAACACACCACAGGATGGAAAGCAATAAATTATGGGCCTCATTCCTGCCTGGATCCTAAGAAAAGGCACAGTTGAAGAGCAAAGCCTCCCCAGGCCACCTTCCCGTGTCCCATGGTCGGGCCCTCAGTCTGGCTGGCCTGAGCAGGGCTTGCTCTCCCTGGGAAGAAGTGAGCTTAAATATTTGGCTTCTTACCAGAGAAGAACTATATACAAGGGAAGTGGCTACACTGGCCTCAGAGGGAAAAAGGGCTCGTCTGGGCCTGTGGAAAGTCACCGGCGTGTTCACAGCAGATGAAGACACTTGCTAGGTACACCAGGGCGCTCTCCCAGGGGCAGCCTTTCTGAGGGCCCCGGGCAGGGCTCAGGTGAGCCGGGAGCCCTGGCTGCGGGCAAGGATGCCAAAGTTCCTCATCCCCCAGCACGGCTGCTCCCTCCTCCAGGACTCAGAGTCAACCTATGGAGTTCAAGGCCTGGAATCTCTCTCTCAGGCTCCTCACTCTACCCTGCTGGCTTGGGTCCGCAGGGTCCCTGGGACCCTCTTCCTTAGGCCAATTCTCTGCAGATTCCTGGAACTTCTGACCCTGCCTC